GGTTTTGCAAACAGCGCCTAGAGTTTTGTCTCGCTTTCCCTTGCATGCTCATTTTTCTCTTTTGGCCTGCTGCTTGCAGGCACGTGATGCTGCCCAAGGACATTGCCAAGCTGGTCCCGAAAACCCATCTCATGTCCGAGTCAGAGTGGCGGAACCTGGGAGTCCAGCAGAGCCAAGGATGGGTTCACTACATGATTCACGAGCCAGGTGGGTTGCAGGCTGGGAGAAGCAGTGACAGGAAACACTGGAAGCAAGGCGTGTCGCAGTAGCTACTGCAGACCCCCTCCCCCCAAAGCAAAACCAAACCATAAGAAGTCTATTTAAAAGGTTGCTGTTTGAGATTACAGCTCCCCGGTCCCCACCGGTGGCCATGCTGGCTGGGACATTCCAGGAGTTCTCATCCGAAACCAGATCCCCACCCACCCAATCTCTGCTGTGGCATTTCTTCCAGTCTGTGCCCTCTCTGAATTTTACGTGTCTTGTCTGCCTTAGATTTAGGGCATGGGTGGAGAACGGCCAAGCTGGTTGATTGAATGACACCAAGACGCAGAGGCCAGACTCTGTTTCTGGATGTTTTTAGACTACAACTCCCATTGTCCTTTGCTATCGACTGGACTGATCAGAATTGCAGTCCAGCAGCTCTAGAGGTGAACATGTTCCCTGACTCCAACCTCATAGGACTGGAGCTTCCCAGAAAAAGATCTACTGGGATCCAGACAGTCAGAGGCAAACAGGGTGCAGGGACTAGAGATGTATCATTTATGAGGAGGTTTGTCATGTTTGCTTTGGATATAGAAAGAATCAGGCTAATAACCAGTTAGAAAGGCCCTCTCAGCACAGTGTCTCAGCTGTCAGTTATCTCACCAGTTTTACTTAAGCTGCCCCTCTAGACATAGTTAATATGGCAAAATGAAATAAAATCTGGGCCATATTCTGCCTCCCTTATATTTCGGGGGGGGGCAGACTATGTGACTTGTGCCTTCTCCATGTCCCAGACAGAGAAACGGCCTCATCAATGATGCGAGAATGTCCTAGTTTCAAAACCAGGTCATCTGCAGCTAGGGCTGGAAAAGAATCCAGTCTCCTTCCAGTTTTCCACAGTTGTGCATCTGTTGGGTTGATGAACGTGGTCAGTATAAAATTTCACCTCCAGAAGCCTCTCCCTTCTCAATTCAGAGCCCAGTCAGTTGCAGATTTTATCTTTTGAGCACACCACCACAGCAAAGAAGACTCGAGACTTGAAATTTCCAAGCAAAGAGAGACGCACCTCAGAAGGCCATTTTAGCACATGAGGGGTGCCCAGATATTCAGGGTGTGGATATAGGACCCATCATTTTGGGGCATGTGTTGAGGCCGTCAGACTAGGCCGGCTTACGAGGCATTGTATTCTTTTCAAGACAAATACACATGTTATTTCCTCTCTCCCTGCAGAACCCCACATCCTGCTTTTCCGAAGGCCGCTGCCAAAGAAGCCGGAAAAGTGAGGGGCGTCACTCCTCCTGCCTCAGATACAAGCACCTTTCAAAAAAACAAAACCCAACTGCATTCTTGTTTTCTTAAACAAAGTTTGACAAATGCGTTCAGTGTGTGTATCAAGAAAACACCATCTGACCCAATCAACACATCGCTGATGACAGAATTCCTTCATTGCAGACAGATTAACAAGGACTGATTAAGCTGCTGAAACATATTTGTATTTTCTACACTGGCAGGAGTTCCTGCTTTATCCAGGGCTAGTTTGTTTTTTTTTAAATCCTAGAGAATGCAGTGTGTTTCTCTCTGGATATCTCTGGATATTTTTTTAAACTCTTGGATACTTTTAAAGTGTATTTTTAAACGTTGTCTTTTTAAACGTTGTCTTTCAAGTTATGCTTCAGAACTTTTAAAAGGAGGTTATTTGAGAAATGACTGTTTTAAAGGCTTTTTCAATAAAGTTCAGAGATTTTACACTGTGCGTCTGTTATTCCCCCCACCCCCTTAATCTTGGTTTGGGTAGAAGCATTGAATGCAGCAACTCATCTGATCACCTTGGGCGAGGAGAAATTCTGGACAGGCGAACCAGTAAGCTCGTGAAGGAGCGGGGGAATGGCTTGATTCTGTCTCCACTAATCCACATCGTTTCTGTTCTCCATGATAAGCATAGAAATGCAGCAGGCTGGTGGACGCGAGATGGAGTAACACATCCTGCCTTTGAAACACACTAGGCAGAAGTCATTAAAAAACTTTTACCAGGGTAAGAGGCTTAGATTTCTATACTGGCTGTGAAGAAGCAGGATTCCCCTCTTCCATCAGAATGGAAATGTGGGTCAAAAAGCAGGGATGGGTGGCTGTTGGCCCTCCAGATGTTCTTGGGCTGGGGCTTGTCTGCCCTAATCAGTGGACTATGGGAACTGTAGTCCAAAATCACATGCCTAGATTGCACCATAGACTGGAGCTGGAGAGGTTACCCAGGATCTGGGAGAGGAATATTCCCCACATCTTAATAATAATAATTTATTGTCATTGT